GCTTAACCCCGTTTGACTTCATAAGTATTAATAAAAATATTGGTTGGTTAAGTTAAACAGAAATTAGCAAAACATAATACAGTAATACAAACAAATAATAACACCTAAATTTAATTAGGTAATAAATTAAAATATTAACAAACAAATAAGTACAGCTGAGGTATTTTTAACATTAGGTATATAAGTGTTCCCTTTAGAAAGGAATTGCGACCTTAAAGGGCAATTTATGGCATAATGGATAGTTTTGCGCAAGGTTTCTCGTAATGACAAACATTTTAAGTATATGGTTTATGGGGGTGTGACTTGTATTTTTCTCATGTGGGATTTATGGATAGTAGTAGGACAAAAAACATGAATCCTTTTTAAAACCATATTAACTGGCCATCTTAGTACATATTATTCGTTCATTAATACATTCTTCCTCTTATGTAGGTTTCTAATATTCCGATTCCATAATATGAGTTATTAATTTTGTTTGCGTGATTTATGTAGACCTATATAAATCTTTTAAATACTTCACTGCTATTTCAGTAACTTAATCTCTAAAATGACATTCTAACGGTCCTAATTGGTTGGCGTGTACGGTTGCCTTAAAAATGTTATATTGTAATGCAGGTATCTAAAAATCCCCCTCCCCCACACACACACACAAAACGGATCGGCGCGCGGTCGGGCTGGCTTCAACAAAACTAGAGCTTTTCCTCTATCCTCCTAAAATTTAATCCTCCTACATTCTAGCTGTGTTAAATTTGCTACTATAGTTCGGCCGCTTAGAAAGCGACCTCCTCCAGCATTAGTTTAGCATTAGCGCGCAAGTCGTTTTCTAAGCGGCCGAACTATACAGTCAAAATCATAAGGGCATTTGTTATTATTATTCAGTTTGTTTACGTAAATATTTCCTCAAAATCTTCATTATAACGAATCTTGAACTTTTTACTTTATCACTGTAATTTGGTAACTTTCTATGTAGTTCTGTTTGTACATCAGATGTACTAGTATTAGGTATTGGTTTTTCTTGAATATTTTAGTCTCCTTTTGTGTTAGTCGTGTGTTCATCAGAGCCGGCCTTAGGTACAATGCCCACACATTGGGTATGAAATACAGAATAATTTAAAAGTATTAAAATTTTACAATATTTATGTTAATTATAAAAAATTAAAAGGGGGAATTATTTTATCATCAATTTTTTGTTTGCACCATCCAAGGCCGGCTATGGTGTTTACAGTTGAAATCTATTTAAACTTCGATATCTATCTCCACTGATTTGACAGAATTTTTTAAAAAAAGAATCGGCTTTATTACCTTATATAACGTATCTATTAAATTTTGAAGTAATACAAATTTTATATAAAATTCTTTTCAACCCATTTTCAATGTCTTAAAAACAAATAATTTATTATGTTGAATAGTTGCTAAGGCTTAAAGTTAAAGAAAAACATTTATGAAAAACATGCAAAATTTAAATTTCCATGTTATTTATACATTAACTACATAGAATAATTAAACCGTTGCAGTTTGCTTGTTTATGAACACATTTGTATGAAATTTGGCAAATAAATTTATTTAGTAATAATCTATTAACATTTTACAAATAAAATTACCCTTCGTTGTAGCAACTCGCGTGATAACTCATTAAACTTAGGTTATTATTTAACTTCGGAATAAACATGACTATTTAAGGAGATATTTTGATGAAAATCCAATCGAGCAAATAGAAATTCACTTATTCCGCTGGTTTTCTGTGGCTGGGGTGATAAAACATTGATTAAGCAAATAAAATTATCCAACTATTGTAATACAGTGGAACAGTAAAGCGCTACTCATAAAACTCACACAGAAAAATAAAATAATACATTGTCGACTTAAGCGTACAGTGACACTAACGTCTTGAAACAAACATAAAAAATCGTTTTACAATAGGATGAAAAGTCTATAAGCTAATCGGCACAATAAATTCGGACACCTAGACTAAAATCTAAAACTACAAATAAAATTATTTGATCCAGAGGAATCATGGATCAGAGTTTCGGTAAAACATTACAGTATAATGGAACAAAATAGATATTATTCTAGTTAGTTGTTTTTTATCTTTATGTTTTCCAACATGTTTTGCTTACGTTTATAGTTTAAGGTTGTGTAAATAGATTATTTTCATACACGATATGTTTATAAAGTAAATAAAATAGCTTATTTAAATTTTTATCTTTTTGAAAAAGCAGTTTCATTTTGTTTCCCTTTCGTTAAGGTTACCTCTCCTCAGATTATACCTCAGATTTCTCCACAGATAATTGACTTGATTGCCTCAATCATATTCATAAATATTATACACTACGATGTATTTTACAATTGGAATAGCTCAAAGTTGTTGTGATGTGCATAGAAAAAATATAATGCATTCTTATTTGTTGCAAGTTCCTATCAACCATATACATTTTGCCATATAACTTGGTAATTTAGGGGGATGCCTCAATCACACTCATACTGATTATTCTACACATTGTATATTAACATTAGAATACCTCAAAGTTGATGTGATGGACTTAGGAAAAAGGTTGTGCACTTTTTCCTGATGCGAGTTCCTATCAACCATATACATTTTGCCATATAACTTGGTAATTTAGAGGACTGCCTCAATCATACTTATACAGATTATTCTACACATTGTATATTACCATTAGAATACATCAAAGTTGATGTGATGGGCTTAGGAAAAAGATTGTGCACTTTTCCTGACGCAAATTCCTATAAACCATATAGATTTTGCCTTATAGCTTCGTAATTCACTGGACTGCCGCAATCATATTTACCCTGAGTATTCTACACATTGTATATTACCATTAGAATACCTCAAAGTTGATGTGATGGGCTCAGGAAAAAGATTGTGCACTTTTCCTGATGCGAGTTCCTATCAACCATATACATTTTGCCATATAACTTCGTAATTCACTGGACTGCCGCAATCATACTCATACTGATTATTCTAAACATTGTATATTACCATTAGAATACCTCAAAGTTGATGTGATGGGCTTAGGAAAAAGATTGTGCACTTTTCCTAACGCAAATTCTTATCAACCATATAGATTTTGCCTTATAGCTTCGTAATTCACTGGACTGCCGCAATCATATTTATACTGAGTATTCTACACATTGTATATTACCATTAGAATACCTCAAAGTTGATGTGATGGGCTCAGGAAAAAGATTGTGCACTTTTCCTGATGCGAGTTCCTATCAACCATATACATTTTGCCATATAACTTCGTAATTTATTGGACTGCCGCAATCATACTCATACTGATTATTCTAAACATTGTATATTAGCATTAGAATACCTCAAAGTTGATGTGATGGGCTTAGGAATAAGATTGTGCACTTTTCCTGACACAAATTCCTATCAACCATATAGATTTTGCCTTATAGCTTCGTAATTCACTGGACTGCCTCAATCATATTTATACTGAGTATTCTACACATTGTACATTACCATTAGAATACCTCAAAGTTGATGTGATGGGCTTAGGAAAAAGATTGTGCACTTTTTCCTGATACGAGTTCCTATCAACCATATAGATTTTGCCTTATAGCTTCGTAATTCACTGGACTGCCTCAATCATATTTATACTGAGTATTCTACACATTGTATATTACCATTAGAATTTTTTTTTTTTTTTACTTGATTTAATTTACAATCTGTTCAAGTTGAACAGAATAGCTCAAAGTTGATGTGATGGGCTTGGGAAAAAAGATTATGCACTTTTTATGTTCGAAGTTTTAATTGATCGCGTTATGTTAAGCCATAGCTACGTATAATGTACACAACGGTCTCAAATATGCCTTTTAAAATACGTCAATTAATTAGTTTTAACTTGTATACACGTTTTATCAATGTATAATTGACATTATATAAATATAAAAACATCATTTCGCACCGTATTGTCATTGAATTGTGTTTCCGACATCCCTGCAAAACACGTTTGTGGCGTCCGCAGGCGTACCAACCCACATCTATTACAAACCGAAACTTTTCCTGACGCAAATTCCTATCAACCATATAGATTTTGCCATATAACTTCGTAATTCACTGGACTGCCGCAATCATACTCATACTGATTATTCTATACATTGTATATTAGCATTAGAATACATTAAAGTTGATGTGATGGGCTTAGGAAAAAGATTGTGCACTTTTCCTGACGCAAATTCCTATCAACCATATAGATTTTGCCTTATAGCTTCGTAATTCACTGGACTGCCTCAATCATATTTATACTGAGTATTCTACACATTGTATATTACCATTAGAATACATCAAAGTTGATGTGATGGACTAAGGAAAAAGATTGTGCACTTTTTCCTGATGCGAGTTCCTATCAACCATATAGATTTTGCCATATAGCTTCGTAATTCACTGGACTGCCTCAATCATATTTATACTGAGTATTCTACACATTGTACATTACCATTAGAATACCTCAAAGTTGATGTGATGGACTTAGGAAAAAGATTGTGCACTTTTTCCTGATACGAGTTACTATCAACCATATACATTTTGCCTTATAGCTTCGTAATTCACTGGACTGCCTCAATCATATTTATACTGAGTATTCTACACATTGTATATTACCATTAGAATAGCTCAAAGTTGATGTGATGGGCTTGGGAAAAAAGATTATGCACTTTTTATGTTCGGAGTTTTAATTGATCGCATTATGTTAAGCCATAGCTACGTATAATGTACACTACGGTCTCAAATATGCCTTTTAAAATACGTCAATTAATTAGTTTTAACTTGTATACACGTTTTATCAATGTATAATTGACATTATATAAATATAAAAACATCATTTTGCACCGTATTGTCATTGAATTGTGTTTCCGACATCCCTGCAAAACACGTTTGTGGCATCCGCAGGAGTACCAACCCACATCTATTACAAACCGAAAAAGCGCCGATGAAAAGAGCCGCTAACTTCACGACGGTTGCAATTGTGAGGTTATGTGGTCCTGAGTAGTGGCGTACTTTATCTCTTTTGTGAAAATTATTTTAATGTGCGGTAGGTAAAATGACTTCTCCAAATTCTCTAGATTTGCAGCTAAACAAATATTGCAATGAACTAACCAGTGAAGACAAAAAACAGCGCAAAAGAGCTTTGGAAAATATAAAGAAAGAAGTCCTTTCGGCTGGAGTTGATGTTTCTGTTTCTTATTTATACAATAACATCCATAAACACATCATTAGATGTTTCAAAGACAATTCTGAAGCCGTAAGAGAATCTGCAGTTCTATTCGTAACGGATGTTGTAACATTATTACCAGCTAAAGAGGAATATATAAACTCTATAATGCCCATGATTGCAGAGAGGTTAAGTGGAGACATAGTGTTGGAGAACTCTGAGGAAGTAAGACTTTGTTTAGTGTTGTTAATGCAGCAAGTAGTATCCAAATACACTGATAATTTGTTTGAATATATAAATGATTTCATAAATATATTGTCTAAGACAATAGTTGACCCCTATCCCAAGGTAAAGAAGGAAAGTTGTGACTGTGCGGCTGAATTAGCAAAATCTACACCACAATATTTTCATATGCAGTCTGAATCTCTCATAATTCCGTTAACCCAAACACTAACTCATCAGCAGTATCGAATTAGAGTTTCTGGTATCAAAGCGATTGGTAAGTGAAATATTTTGTAGCCTATTAAACGTGTTTACCGTAGCCTACAATTCTGGTGTTTTTATTACATTTCCCTAATCATAGGTTTTGATATGTTGGCAAGTCCTATATGCCCAGTACTTAATTATTTTGATTTCAACTGATGAATTTTCGTGGAGTGTGGTATAGGGAACTAACTTAGCTTACAAGGGATAGGTCCACAATAACGTACCCGGTAACCCAAAAGGCAATATTTCAGTGTAGGCCTAGTTATGGCAAGAGCGAGCTGGTCTAATAGTAGAGCGCAGTACTTTGGTCCTTGAGGTCCTGTGTGCAAATTCCGCCAAACCATTAATGGATTTTATCTAGAAGTGATAATGCTCAAGCTAGTCCCTCTCCTCAAGTCCAGAGCTAAAAACTATTCTCTAAAGGATTTTTTGATAAGACATTTCCAAAATTTGTTGATTAATCCACATGCCAACTTTTTAAAACATATGTTTGTATGTATCAGTTTGTTTTAAATGTAGGTAGCCTACCGTACCTATGTAGGCTATATTGAATTTGTGACCCTATTAATCTCTTTTGGGTAAAAGATGAAGACAGACACGGTAATAGGTAATGCCACAACCCGTAGGTAGGGCCTATAGCCTGAAGTAAGATAATGTGTAGGTTTATACAAAATATTTATTTATTTTTTTTTATTTTACATACCAACGGACAACTTCATTTTTACATTCATACAACAAACAAGATGGAAACAATAATTAATAACAATAATGTAGCATTCGCTCTGGCCTTAATGAAAATAGATGAATTTGGTAATAAAGAATGTGCATAATGATTCAAATAGCCTAGAATAAATAACATTTACAATAAATAACTTATACAAATAACATAAATAATATACATAAGGCCTATACAGTGAAATAACAAAAATAACAATACAAATAGACTAGCCTACTATTAATTAACAGAACACAGCCTTGCCAAGAAAGTCCCTGCATTTAGATATAATAGGGTACTTACGTATTAAACGGAGGCCACATATTTTACAGCGCGCTGCAGCGGTTATGTTAGGTTGGGTTATCATAAATATATGTTTTTTTATAAAATTAAACTATCTTAACCTAACCTAACCAACCAAACTTGCTGATGGTGAAGGTTTACTAATCGAATCGAATCTGAAGGTTAGGTGGCCTCCGTTTAATACGTAAGTACCTATAATAGTATAGGCTACATAATTATTCAAATATATAAATACTAGCTGACCTGACAGACGTCGTCCTGTCTTAATGTGGTTTTATGTCAAATGGTCGTTCATTTTCAAGATGAGCTCGTTCGCATCGCTCTATCACGTCCTGGTTGAAGTTCGTTTACTACGCTTACTCACCTTTAGGTTGGAGCTCGTTCGCTGCGCTCACTTGCCTTCGGGTTCAGCTCGTTCGCTACGCTCACTCACATTTTGGTTGCAAATCATTTGTTGTCATTAATAAAAAAAAATAATAGTGCTGCACCCTGTTGGTAAACCTATTAACTTTTTAATGCTTTTGAACATCACAGAATCAAATTATTTAGTTGTATTGTATTAACCAGCTGTTAAGATTCTTTAATCCCATTTAAATATAAGTACTCATAAGGTTAACATGGGAAATTTCAGAGCCATTCATCTCGTAGTTTGTGCGGTGGTGCTGTCTAACAAACAAGTCTCTCGAACGGGTGCGTTGAGGAGTCCGAAATTGAATCTGCTGAAGCATATCAGGGCAGTCAAGTGAACCATTAAGGAGCTTGTGCAAGACAACGAGATCAGCGTTGGTATTTGTAACGATCATATGTTTGGTAGATAACAAAATCATATGTTTGGTATTTGGTTTCAGGGGCGGTGGTGCGCTGGGGAAACAACAAGTCTTTGAACGACGTGTGTGGACCGTTGGCAGAGCGACTGTTTGACCAACACCACGCTGTGAGGGCTGCCGTGGCAGATGTAGTGGGAACTTGGCTACTGGAGTTGCCGGACAGATACTCATACTTCCATAAACTCATCCCTCTAATGTTGACAAGGTAAAATAATTTAGTAAAATAAATTTTAATCTAAGGCCTGAGGGTTTCTGTCTGAGCTAGCTGTATGTGGTCAATGTTACTTGCTTAAGGACACAAATGAGATGATTACCAACCAATTTAATTTTGAACCCATTGAGGATCAGAGATTATTCATTGCCTTAACTTGTAAATTTATATCAAGTTCTCCCTCATCCTATTGGCTATAAGCGCCATCCGATCCTTTAACAGACTCCCACCTGTTACAAAGTCTGGATAGCAGAAAGTGTATAATTACCACAGAAAACCTCTTCTATAAAACTCTACCATACCATAATGAATCTAGAAAGAGTTCAGGAATTAGTGGCATAGTGACTAAACTGATGCTGTCTATTCCCATCAAATAGTGGGCTAGGGTAGGTAATGATAATATACTAATCACACCTAACTGTTAAGCTCACTAAATATTCGGACACCAAAAGCCCAAGTATAGAAGTTCTCAGCATCCCAGGCGGCAATACATGCTAGGCACAGCTTACAACCATTTTTGTTGAGTTATATTCATATTTAAATAAGGCCTAGTTATTTGTTTTCATATTGTTATATAAGTACCACAAAAATATATACGTCTAATAACACTTGTAATAATATATTGTCCAATCAAAATCGATCACCACTCGATAAGTAAATATATTAGTATAAGTAGTATAATAATATAGTAATAGTAGTAATAATAGTAATAATAGTAATAATAGTAGTATAGTAATAGTAGTATAAGTGTAAATATATTATTTCAAGTGTTATTCGACGTATATATTTTTGTATTTTTCAGTTAATTTAATAACACGTACGATGCTGATCAAGAAGTTATTCATAAGTACAAACTAAAGTCAATATATTATTACACAATGAACATTTTGTTTTCAGCTTTAACATTTAATTTTTAACATCTAGATTAATTTTGATTTGTATTAGGCCTACTTTCATAACATTTGAAATTAATTTTTGCAGTCTGTCAGAAGAGATTACAGAACAGCGTAGCAAAGCAGAAGAGCTTTGGAGCAAAGTGGGAATTCAGTTTGTGCAGGAAAATGAAAATGACCTTAAGGACAAAATAGACTATTTGCAAGAAACTTTAGCCCATTATCCACCAAACGGTTTGTTTATTTATAAACTTGTATCCTAGGCTGTATTAATACTTAATAGTCAATAAGTATTAGTAGTGGTATCATATGAAATTGGCAATATTATTAATGTAAACCATTAATAATATTGATTATTAATAATATTATATATAATATTGACATTGTAACAAATCAAAGCTAAACAAACTTACATAATGTAGCCTTCGGATGAAACACATTATTTTTCACAATTAAGTAGACAATCTATAAACTAATACCCCCGCCGCAGCAAACCTGCAGACTAAGCAAATTTCCATTTGCCTGATTGGATTTACACTAAAATATCTCCTTAAAAATATTACATTTATTCCCTATTTAAATAGCATTAGTTTAACGAGTACTTAGGTTTGCTGCAACAGGGAGGGTGGTAAAAAAGTGTTTTTTTGTACAATGTTAATAGTTTAGTATGAAATGAATGCATTTTCCAAATTTGATCAAAATATGCTCATAAACAAGCAAACTACAACAGTTTACCATTTTTCTCCATAAGAATAACATGGGAATTTTAAATTTAAAATTTTTTTAATTTTCTCCGTAGCCATTAGGCGCATGATAACGCTTCAATATACTAAATTATTTGTTTTTTTAAGCTCTACAAAATGGTTTGGAAAGAAGTTGCTAAATTTTATGTTTTTAGGGTAAAAAATGGGAAAAACCAATTTTTACCCCATAAAACCCCCCATAAACCCCTCTTCCCATAGTCCGATCATGCTGGTTCGCGAACTCGTTCGAGTAAACGTAGGTTTACACATTTGTACCAAATTTCATAAAAATCGGATGATTTTTGCTCGAGTTATCGCGCTAACGGACACATATATAAATATATATATATATATGTATGAATTCGAACGGATGGTGTTTTTGGCCTCTAGGGACCTCAAAACGAAAAAGTAAATTGGTCCAGGGTCCAGGTCTTACCATGAGTACTACGGTAATAGCTTATTCCCTATAAGGGAAATTCGCTAAAATGATATTTTTTGCCATAAATAGTTTGAGTAAAGCATATAAAGTTATAACTGGACTTGAAACAAAAATCTGTGTCGCTCTTAGTTTTAACCATGGTAGTTTTTCTGTCGCAATATTAGCATGTAAGTTAAGTGAAAGGACATTATCATCAAGAAACCCACTGAAGTAATAATGATAAGTGCATGAACTGCTTCAATGTTACCTAAATGGTATATTGTATTGAAGGATAAAAATAAAATAAAATATTAACTACAGGCATACCACATTTTTATTTTTTCTCTGTATCTTGTCGGGTTTGGCGGGTCTAGAGGTTGAAGTGGTTCAGAGTATCCGTCTAAAAATTTCTATAGCCTAGGCCTTGTATGTTGATCAAAATTGGCAAATTTATTTATTTAATTCTTAGGCCTACTATTAACATTTGGTGAGAAATAAATACAACCTTCTCCGTAGCAGCAAACTTTGGTACTCGTTAAATCTAATGTTATTTAAATGTGTAATAGATATGTCTTGTTTATGGAAATATTTGAGGGAAAATCCAATCAGACATACAGCAGTTTACTTAGTCTGCAGGTTTGCTGTGGCAGTGGTATTTGACAATAGGCTCACCTGAATGGGAAAGAGTCTAATGCGGCTTGTGAAACAAAATAGTTAGAACATTTTACTGTCACTGACAGCATTTCAAACAAAGGAAGGTTTAAGTTGGGAAGAGAGGTACAGTGTTAAATTAAGTTTGTCTTTCTTATGCCATTGGACTATTCATTATTCATTCAGATAAGCCTGACAAAGTCCTCAATGTTTATTTAAATTTGACTTTTGACGTTTGGACGTTTGTAGTGTGTCGGCCTAACCTCGGATGCCGCACTCTGGTACAGAGAGAGTTATCCAGATATCTACCTGCTGTGGTGGCCGAACTGGACGACTGGAAGGCTGATGTCAGAGTCAAGTCTGCGCAGCTACTGTGTGTCACTGTGCAACACGCAGAGGCCAACATTACGCAGCACTTGGAGAAAACATTGCCTGCATTGTACAGAGCCTGTGGAGACGCGGATGCTCGAGTGGTTGACAATGTGAGTTTGGTCTTTAACTGTTGATAAAACTAGACATACCATTCATGTGTTGAAGTTGTTTTCAGTTTTGAATCCGTTGTGTGTATGGTAGTTGAATTTAGCCACCTGTATTTAGCCACCTGTAATTTACCACCGGAGTAGGCTAAATGATTTCTTCCGAATACGCCAATTTTAACAAATTCAAACTCTTAGGAAAATTTGTTTTAACCTATACCATCTTTTATGTCACATCAACTATCTCAGTAACAAACGCTAAGTGAGAAAATACCAAATTTTAGACTGTTGAACACAGTGAGTGGCTCATTCTACTATGTTTTTTTTTTATTAAAAACCATGCTACAGCTGGTCTATATAGAAGCTGTCTAGTTCATTTTCCAAAAGTCTGAAAATTCAGAGACTGAAAAATATGGACAATTTGTAAAAACCCTAGAAGTTTGCTAAATTGAAATAAGAGAAGGCAAAGCGCATTGTGCAATGTGAAGAAGATTTATTTTGTACCACGGATTGTATGATTAAATATTTGTAGTATTTGTTTCAATCCTATATTTTTCTGAGCATGCATTCCACCAACCATTAGGCCATAATTAGCTTATCATTCCTAGATTCAATTGTATCTTCACTCAGAATTTGTGATAACTTGAGATTTAATGGTGTCAGATTGTAGGGCTGTAAAAAAATAACAATAGTGTGGGATTATAATTTAGAGCCGTGGGTAAGATTTTAATTGAAAAATTCTTTGAGTGAGTAAAGCGGCCGATCCCAGCAAGTTCTCTCTGTTAGCTGTATTGGTGTGGTCAATTAGTTGTAAGATAGACTCTCTCATAAATTTAACATAAACATACAGAAAGGACACGGATGATAATGACATTAAGGACAGTTGTTAGTTGCTTGCTTATATGAGCGAGCTCAGGACGGTGGCAACACTGTTTATAACACTATAGGATTACTAGAACAAAGATAGGATTGAAAACAAAAGTACATTAAAGCAATAACAGTTACTGTGTTTAGTAGTGAATATTGTTCAGATTAGGTAATTTATTGTTTTATGCTTGGTTATTTGTCACTGGAGGTTACTTCTAACTTTTAGGAATATTAATAATAAAAAAAAAAACAAGTTAAAAATAGTTACTGACTTACTGGTCTGTGTTTTGTCTTGCTATGTTGGCAATAGAATGTCGGTTGTGATTGCCTGTCACCTTTGGTCCACCTCTTGCCATTAAACTCATTCATAGACAATAGACAATAGACAATAGACAATGATCTTTATTTACATATTCGTTGAGAACAGTACATGCGTCAGAATAATAATTAAAATTTGTTGATTTAATATGTTGTTAAAGCTGGTTGTCAAGGAATTCTTTTTCTGAGTAGAATGGCCTTTCTTGCAGCCATGTTGTTAATTGGTTCTTGAAACGGTGAGTTGGTTCATTTCTAAGTTGTTCTGGTAGGTTGTTGAAATACAGGGCCCCTTTGTACGATGGCTTCTTTTCAAAGAGACTTAGATGGTGAGGTGGTATTGCAAAGCTTGAGGCGTTCCGTGTATTGTGATGGTGAATGTCTCTGTTTCTTGTTTGGTTTGTGGAGATGGCATGGAGAATTGCCTCACGGATGTAAAGTGATGTCAGTGTGAGGATTTTTAGTTCCTTAAATGCATCACGACTGCTTTCTTGATATTGAAGGCCTGCTAGGCATCTTATAGCTCTTTTTTGTTGGATAAGTACTCTTTTTAGGTAGTTGTTGGATGTACTTCCCCAGACCACCAGACCATACCTGAGGTGTGACTCGACCAGGGCATGGTAGGCTGTTTTTGCGGTGTCCAGACCACCAACCTGCTTCATTCGCCTGATGACATGAATGCCAGAGCGTAGCTTCTTGCAGAGTTGGTCAATGTGCTGTTTCCATGTCAGCTTTGAATCCATGATAATGCCGAGATATTTGGTACTATTTTGTGCTTCTATCCCAGGGATTAATACGTTTGTGTCTTTATTTTTAGTAGAGTAGTTCAGCTGAACAGTTTTCTTTTCATTTAGAGCCAATTCGTTTACTGTACAATATAGTTTAGTCATGTTGAAGGTTATATTGATGTTTCGGTTTAAAGTTTCCGTTGATTTGTCGGTTAGTGTGATGACAGTGTCATCTGCATACATTGTGGTTTGGCAGTATTCTTGTAGCTGGTCTGGTAGGTCATTTGTGAGGAGGAGGAACAGGACTGGTCCGAGAACTGATCCCTGTGGTACTCCTCTCCGTATAGGGACAGTTTCGGAATGTATTTTATGGCGAGTGTTTTTTTCTACATGCTGAATCTCAACTAGTTGCTGTCTGCCATTAAGATAGCTGTGGAACCATTGTTTAGACTTTCCCTCAATACCCAGAGCTCCCAATTTTTTAAGAAGTGTCTTGTGGTTAAGGCAGTCAAAGGCCTTGCTAAAGTCCAGAAACAGACTTGTGACTGAGGAGCCGTCTTCTAGTTGTTCTATTATGTGCTCGGTGAGCTGTATTAAGGCAGTGGAAGTGGATCTTCCTTTAAGGAAGCCATGTTGCTGGCTGGTGAGCAGCAGGTTTTGGTCTAGATGGGATATTAGTCTGTTAAGGACGATTTTTTCAAAGATTTTAGAGAAGGTCGGTATAAGTGAAATTGGTCTGTAACTTTTAGCATCTGTGTTTGGTCCACTTTTATATTTAGGGTATACCTTGGCAGTTTTGAGCTGTGTTGGGAAGACCCCTTGTTTGAGAGACTTATTTATGAGTGCTGTTAGTGGGTTAATCAGTTCATTTTTGCATGTTTTGACCAGTTTGGCTGATATTTCATCAGTGCCAGATGAAGTTTTTGGTTTAAGTGAGTCTATTGCTTTTAGTACTTCGTTATGTGTTGCAAGCTGAAATTTTAGTTTGTTAGCTGTTAAAGGAGGAATTTCAGGGGTTCTGGTGTGTGTGTTGGTGTTGTTTGCCTGAAGTGTCCTTTCCGCGGCTGTAGCAAAAAAACTGTTGAGGTGGTTTGCTATTTTGATTGGGTCCTGTAATGTCTCCCCATCTACTAGGAGTTCCCACTCATTTGCTATACTGGTACTTGATTTTCTCTCATTATTTATAACCTGCCAGAGTGCCTTGGACTTGTTGTCGGCATTGCTTATATAGTCGGATGTTTGAGTTTTCCTCAAAGTCTTTAGTCTTAGGTCATAGTCCCTTTTTCTTGCTGCGGTTTCTGCTTTGTCTTCAGGTAGACCTGTGCGGTTTTCTTTTTCCAGGGCATTTATATATAGATTTTTTAGTCTAGAGCATTCAGCATCCCAGCAGTTTTTTTGATTGTGTTGTTTTCTCCTTGTCATTTTTACTGGGCAGGTCTCATTTAGTATTCCTTGGATAGCCCTGTGAAAGTTGTTATAAGATTCATCGACATCTTCTATGTGGTAGACACAATCCCAGGGTTGTTCATGGAGCCTGGTTTTAAATAGATTTATGGTGTTTTTGTTGAGAGTTCTTCTTTTCTCCTTAATTGACTTTGTGATTTTTTCTGATGGTAGTTGGAGAGTGGCAATTTGGGCAGTGTGGTCTGAGAGTCCAGACAGGATAATGGATGTCTGGATATGTTTTGGGTCTATGTTTGTACAGATCCAGTCTATTGAGGTTTTAGTTTCATGTGTAATTCTAGTAGGCGGCAGATTTAGTCTAACAATGTCAAAAGAGGATAGAAGATCTTCAACTTGGATGTTATCTGTGTCATTTGCGATTCATAGCACCAATAAAAAAATTGGTTTTTTATTCAAATGAGTCGTATGTTCTAGGTTGCTTGTACGCATTGTTCACGATCACTGACAGTCATCTGTCTAAAAAATGAATGTCAATAGATAGCTGTATTTTGTTTAGTTTTTTTTGCCCATTGTTTTATATGGTTATATACTTTTTAAATTTTAATTGAAAATAACTTTGGTTGCATGAATTAATTATTTATTTAAATCACATTTTTATCATCATAACATGTTGGTTTTGTGGTATCCAGATTGAGAGGGCTGCAGAGATGCTGGGATATTTTGTCCCCACCGACGTCTACTGGCGTCTGATGAAGCCCAGTGTGCAGGAGTGTACAGGGCCAGGGCCTGTGTGTGTGTTGGCAGCAGTGATCAGGAGTTCTCCCAGAAAAGCAGTACAACCTCAGTTGGTAGACCTGGCTAATATCTTGGCAACTGACAATGTTTGCCATAGCAGACAGGTAAGGCTGAAAACTCCGGCTTGCGTGTGAGATTAACAATGCCTTGTCAAATATTTCTGGAGTATAAATGTTCTTTTAAAAGATAACATATAGCTTATGAGTTTTAGCGAATTACCCTATAGGGAAGTAGCTATTACCGTAGGTAAGACCTAGGCCCAAGACCGATTTACTTTTTCATTTTGATGTCCCCAGAGGCCAAAAACACCATTCGTTAAAATTTTTACGTATAGCCCCCCCCCCTCCACGTCACAGTGTCGTTGCCCCCCCCTCAATTTTAAATACATGTTTAATGTCCTGTTATAATTCACCCAGGCTATGTACCAGAAGCAGTTGATGAATGCTGTACGTTCTATACTCATTGTGTCTCGAGAAGACGTGGCAGTCATCAGGCAACAGCTGTTCACGGTGTTGGTCTCGGTTCTTGGATTAGCTGTTGAATCGCACATCACTACCCAAGCTAAAGGTAGTTTTACCTAATCTTGAGCTTTTAAATACAAGTCTTTGGTTCAGGGAACTAGTGAAATAGAATGTATATTATGTTATGCTACAGTTTTCAACAGACTGTAAGTAGTGAGAAGGGATCTTGAGGTTATGAATTACAAGGATTACTCTTATCATGTAACATGTTTATTTTGTGTTTGTATGTATATTGCTGGGTAGCTGAGTGGTTGTTTTGCACCCTCTACAAGTCACTGGCTTTAAGGGTTTAAAGTGAACCTAGTTGCCCTTACTCATTAGGCTTATAACAAATAGTCCTGGCCAAGAAACAGGTGGTCTTAGACTGTAACAAAGTTTCACACGGACCATCTCACCAAATTGTATTTTCATCACAAATATAATCCTCTCTTGTTAGTATGGAAAGAGTTTCAACAGTGATGTTATTCTCTTTCCGGTTGTAGAGCTTTTGCAAGAGTTGGCGTCGCTCTGTAGTGTTGAACTTCAAGACCTCTATGATAAACATTCCGCTACTCTGTTGGAAGAAATATCAGCCTCTGTGAAAGACTGGTCACCTCTGACTCCACAACGCTTCATCTTTGAGGCTGTTCTCACTCATGCTGGTAGGTATTGGGTCTTGTTGGGTTAAATATCGGTATATTTGATTTATTCTTAGTTTATGACTATACACATTTAAATTTTGTGCGTTATAAAATAAACTAATGTGGCATTTCCTTTAAACTCTTTGTTTCATTATGCTTGTAATATACAATTTTACTTTTTTAAATTATAATGCATTAAAACAAGAAGAATTGTGACAAATTTCCTCATCACTTTTAAAGCCCTAGGCCTATTTTATTTTTTTCTCTGTTAATATTTTTTTAGGTTATGTCCTTTTATGTCCTTTGTAATAATATAATTATTTCAACCCGATATGTCCTTATTTAAGTAAAGTAAAAGAAAAAAAAATCTCTGTTCTCCTTCTCTATACTAATGCAAAAAGAAGCAAAACTGGTGTTGTGTGCAATCCCTATTAAACTCAATAATTCAACTTCCACCTGAACCAGACACCATTTATTTAACCTCAACGCTACATTCTTCAATCGTCAGTGTGTAACGCCTTAGCCAACTGAGCTACTATGCCGCTGTTGGCCGCGAAGTGTCGCTGTAAGCACACTAGCGCTCACAGGGGAAATTCAACAAAATAATGCCCCAAGCTTTATTTAGGCTTTGGTTTTGAAGTGTTTAAGTGCCATCATGACGGGATATATTTTGTTTTTCACACAAGTTCAACTTAAAAGAACTTGAGAAGCTTTTTTCCGAAAGCTAGGCTTGAGCTTGACTTGATTAAGAATGTAAACGTCTTTTATATCTCCAGTAAGATTTTAATCAACATAACGTAGTCTAACTAATCATTCAACATAGTCAACATAGAACTATCAAATCATCATAAACTTATCAACCAATTAAATTTGGGGTCCCACAAGGTTCAAATTTGGGGCCTTTGCTTTTTTTGTGTTACCTTAAAGGCATGGAAGATAATTTAACCTACAAGCAAAATTCTAAATTATGTCTTTACGCTGATGATTCTAATTTGATTGTATCATCTAACTCTCCAGAAGAAACTGAAATTTTTACATATGTTAGAATTAGAGAATATTGGAAACTATTTCTACAATCATAACTTATTATTAAATTCACAAAAAACAAAATTTATAAATTTTAGAACAGCTCAGAACAAAATTACAAAAGAGCCAACAATAACTTACAACTCAAATAACATTCAAAAGGAAAATCTAATAAATTTTCTGGGTTGAACAATAGATGAAAATTTGAATCGGGATAAACACACACAGAATGTTTTGACTAAAACTAACTCCGGAATTTATGCATTGTCAAATATGTCCTTTTATTGTAATTTTGTAATTGTAATTTTTAAACCCTAAAAAGTATATATTTTGCTCACATCCACTCTCATCTTTCATTCGGTTTAGCATTATATGGGTCAACAAAAAAATGTAATATAGATGGCATTCTGAAGCGGCAAAAAGGGGCTATCAGAATTATGCTTAAGCTTAAACAGGATGATTCGGCAAAAGAACATTTTAAGAAATTACAAATTTTTACAGTTTATGGGCAATATATTTATGAAACAATTATTCTTATCGCCAAAAAAATGAATCTGAGCAAGTAATAAATTCAGTACATTCTTATAATTTCAGGAGGAGAAGAGATTGTGGTCCAGCCTCACAAATTAAAATTTTTTGAAAAAAACCCTCATACGCTGGTAACGAGTTTCTAAATTTTGACCCTGAATTCATAAAAAAAGAAACAAACCTAAGCCTATCTAAGTCCAAGAAAACTCTAAAAGATTATTTAATAAATTTAGCATTATATTCTTTTGAGGAGTTTTCCACCTCCCATACATAGAAATAGTATTTTTATTTTAAGTATTCTGACACTATTCGCTGTACCACCAATGTACATGATTTATGACGAATAAAGATGTTTGAATATGAATATATGAATATAACTCATAACCTATATCATAAACATCACTTATATTCCTTAAAACACCAGAACGCCTCAAACATAAGTTAAAAGTTGTGAGATTATATATTTGGTGAGTCGGTGGCTCAGTTGGTAGCGTCACAGACTTCTGGCCCAAGGCAGCGATGTCGTGGGTTCGGATCCTGGTCACTGCCACTAAAATTATCAGTACAGTTCACCTTCGTACTATACCGGCTCACCCCTTGCTTTGCTGGATACGTTCCACGCACAGATCTGTAGTCTATGTGGACGGGCAAATGTAAGGTTAAAAGAGGTCGCCAACCTCTTAAAAAAAAAATGTTATGAGAGTGTTCAAAGTTAATCGTAATCCCATATCTTATATCTCATAAAGTATTGTAATTGTGAGTAATAAAGTATTGTATAATCTCATAATGTAATCTTATGCTGTTTTAGGGGAAGAAATCTGTACCCTCCACTTGAACCTACCTTTACCTTTTAGGAACAGCTGAAAACATAAATCAGCTGCGCCATATATATTAAGCAAAATAAATAAATAAAATAGTGCGTGAATTTCCACTAAAACCGCCAAAACTTTGTGAACAGAGTTTTGTATCTCACAATATTTAAGTTAATTTTGTATAATCAATCAATAATCTTATTATTTTACCGTTATATACGACCGTTTTTTAAAGTAGCCGTTTCAGTTCAGTTCTTATAATTGAAAAGTTTCTCATAACAGCATAGTTTTACATAACAACCTGGGTGACAGATCAATGAGGTTCAAGGATTGAGAAAAAAAAGTAAAATTTTAATGATTCGAACTTCAACTTATCAGCTGTTTAGGCCAATTTAATTGTTGAATGGTTCAATTAGTGTTTGGTACAATGTTTCGTTGCATTACTGTCATTGGCAATGAGAGGTTAGAAACGAAAACATAACCTCTCTTAGAAGTTATGAGGAGTGATTTTCGTTAATTAAAATACTGTCATAGTTGAAGTAGTGTACGCAAGTAAATAGTGTTAACAACACTCGTAGAAGTTTTTAAAGCACTCGCTATGGCTCTTACCTTAAATTTTCTACTCCTGTCGTTAACACTAGCTTTACGTAATCGTTGTGTAAACTACAATTTTCTAATACAGTAATTACTGTGGTGTTTAAACTAAATGGAACTTATGATTTTTAGAGTAGACTAGCTGTGTGCTCTTTCTACGGACGGGGATCTTGTAGTCAACATATAATAGTAGTTTACGCAACGATTGCGTTAAGTGAGTCTTTACGACATGAGTAGAAAATTTAAGGCACGAGCCTTGGCGAGTGCCTTAAAAACTTCTACGAGTGTCGTAAAGACTATTAACGCGAGTTGCGTACACTACTTTACCTACGACCGTTTTTTAATTACTATCAATCTGGATTTAATTACTAACAATCACTAATGATAACTTTTTAGAGAGGTTATGTTTTCGTGTATTGTCATTGCCACTGAAAGTGATGCAACGACTTATTGTATAATCAGCTGATTTCCTGTAATTACGTGTTTGTTAAACTTCGTTAAATATTACATTGCTAGCAGCATTCTTACCATAAATAATATTGTATCAGGTACAATTCGGCAAATATTTCATTTATTTTTGGACTTCCACCAACTTAATTAAGAATACGCGAGTATCAACATGAACAAGTCGGATCAACAATTAAATTGGTCAACTGATCAGCTGATCAGCTGATTAGTTGACGTTCGAAGCATTACAATTTTAATTCTTTTCTCTCAATACTTGAACCTCATTGGTCCGTTACCTGTGTGGATATGAGAAAACTATGCGGATATGAAATGAAACTATGCGGATATGAAAGTAAACAGCTGTAAAGTGAAACTTTTCAATTCTAAGAACTGGACTGAAATGGCTACTTTAAAAAAGGTCGTAGGTAAATGTATTATTTGACACAGGTGCAGCAGTTGGAGACAACATGGAAGTGGTGTTGTCAGTGCTGAGTACTTGTCTGTTGCCACAGTCAGACCCAGAGGCTACTCTACAGATGTTGATGGCTGTCTCATACATCCTCACTGACACCGGGACCACCCTCGCCAGAGTCAGTGACTTAGACACTGTCCTACACCGTACGTGCACAGGTCAGTCAACTCACTGTTAGTATGAGAATTATAAAATGGAGTACCATTAGTTACTCAAAACCTTTGTGGCTAAATAACTTGATTTAATCTTTAAAATAAATAAAAAAAATATTTGCAGAACCATTTATTGTTGATTGATTTAATAACTATTAGCATAAACAAATGGAATAAATATAGACTGTCAAAAGAAGGTTCCGGCGCCCACCGCTAGGGTTGCCGTGTAGTTATGGCGCACACCGCTGCAGGCGAGGAGCGCAGGAGCCGTATGCGACCAGCAGACGCTGCAGCGGTGTGCGCCGTAACTTCACGGCAAACCTAGCGGTGGACACCAGAACCTATGCTAACCGCAGCACATCTGACGGTCTATATTTATTCTATTTGTCTATGCTATAAGTTACCTACACTATGGTCATCGTCACTCCAATACACGTTATAATGGCTAGCTTTTAATTTAAGGCAGTGGAATCAGTGGCTTTCCGTGGAGATCTAATTATAAATTAAAAGTATGCATACCATGGTTATTGAATAATGTTTTTACAGTAGACCTACATTCCATTAAATTCTAAAAGAAACATTAGCATAATCATTCAAATATATTTATTTAGGATATTACAAGCATGGCCTCGCCAAGTTTACAAAACTTGTCGGCGAGGACCAATTATAAATTATAAAACCATTTATTTGTTATCTGTCATAATTATATATTGAACTTATAACATAACATACTGAGGTCATTCAGCTATTGGGGCTGATGATGATTGGAGTCTCCAATCTAAATTGATCACCACTGATCTTTTATATGTGTTTACCATCTTATGATATGATAACAGTAGTTTCCGCAATGATCGTTTAAAGATAGCCTTAAAGGCTAATTACGTGAGTTGCGTACACTACTTTACCTACAACCTCTTCTTAATTACTAACAATAACATATTTCACTACTCATAACGTCTAAGAGAAGTTATGTTTTTGTTTATCAGCTATTATCCCCGTAAATCAGCTACACCATATATATTAGAAAAAAAAAAATAAATAAATAAAATAGTAATTTTATAATTATTATGAGTGGCCTCATTGCCACTGATTGTGATGCAACAACTCATTGTCACAACAACTTACTCATTGTATAATAAATTGAATTGGCCTTAACAGCTGATAAGTTGACGTTTGAAGCATTACAATTTTACTTCTTTTCTCTTAATCCTTAAACCTCATTGGTCCAAACATGGAGTGTAAAGTTACAAAACAATGCTATAAAGCAAGTAAACAATACTGTTAAGTGAATCTTTTCAATTCTAAGAACTGAATTGAAAAGGCTAGTTTGAAAAAAAGTCTTAGGTAAAAGTGTTATTAGACGTATTTATTTACTTTCCATTAATTTAAAAACACGTACAATGCTGATCAACAAGCTATTTAAATTTGGTAGCTACTGCTATTATTGCTAACAGATGAGCTTGCTTCCTACCCCTCCCTTTTCCACTTTAATCCTCCCTCTTTAAGTCGCCCATTTGATTTTTATACATTAAATTTAACTCTAAAGTTAGCATGAGAAATCGTGTGGGTTGAATTTCAAATAAAAATTACACCTTGAAAAACGTGTGTTGTTTACAGAAGTACTTCAGCCACTGCTTGTATGGAGAGCAGGGAGGTCGGCGGAAGCATTACGGACAGCTGCGACTGGCTGTGTAGTGGCAGCTCTGCAACTGCGACCGTGTACACCACAGCTATCAGAGCAGTTGGTACCCCTGCTGCTAGGGCTTGTAGAAGACTCAGCCTTCAGGACGAGACAGTTGGCAACACTGGCCGTGCTCCATGTTGTACAAGCTTTGAGGAATAGTGATGCACTCGCTGCTAAAGATGTGATAACAATATACCCAGGTAGACTTGGGAAGAATCTTTTAATCAGTAATAGGCTTTTTAGACTTACTTAAGATTTATAAGTGAAAGATTAGCACTAAAAATTACTTGCTAGAAATTAGATAAAAATTGTAGATTTAACGCATATATTGAGGTAATGCCGAACGGTCCTAACCTGATATGGGTTTGAATAAAAATTCTAATTACTGCAGGTTCAAACTATTGAAGGTTTTCTGCATTATGAGTTGAAAGGTTTTATGCTACTGTGTTAAGACAAGTAAAATCTTAGAATGTATAACATGTTATATTTTTCACTTTTAATTCTACAACACAAGAGTACAAACATTAAAAATACTGTATTGCTCACATATTTCAAATAGAGATTGTAACAACCCAAAACCTGTCAAGGGGTAAAATCCGTTTTTAAAGTTTTATTTGTTCGGGGTAAACCGCGCCAGCGTTGACAACGGCATTGAAGGAGCAGGCTTACGGCATCGTAGGAGGGGTTCTACGGCATTGTAGAGGGGAGGACACTAGTTAGCTACCCCGCCACCAGGGGTGATGGCGAAGAAGGGCCAGAGGAGCAGACCTCAGGGTCAGTCGTCCACCCGCTACCGAACCGTCAATACGTTTGCTGTTTGGAGATAAATCCAACAGTCGTACCTTACTAAATTCTGGTCAGTTAAAGATTTCCCCCGTTCCTGGTAGAATCTTAAGGCATCAGGTTAGTGTGCTACCGAATCTATTTTGTTTAATCTCATTTATAGAGAACTTTTATTATTTTTATTTCATTGTGCCGCAGTCGTGCGCACCCCGCACGCTTATGTTATGTTTTCTGCATCCAATATTAACCAAGAAATAATTGTAAATACAAACTTAACTACAATTCATTCACAACAGTCAATAAATTATTTGGGAATAGAAATCGATTCACAACTAAATTGGCAAAAACACATTAAAAACTTATCAAAAAGACTACGCTCAGCAACATTTGTTCCCACAATAATTCGGGATACTACTAATCTAGAAACACAAATAGTAGTATATCACGCATATTTTTCATCGATTATGAATTATGGAATTACTGTATGGGGCTCATCAAGCCAGGCCAAAAAAATATTTATTCTCCAAAAAAGAGCTGTAAGATTAATGGCCAGAGTCTCCCGTAGAACACATTGTAAAGATTTATTTATTAATTTTAAAATCTTAACTTTTTTTAGCTCTTATATTTACAAATTGGCATTAATGGTTTAAAAGTGATTTCGACACATTCATGGACTGTCAACAATCTCATCCACATAACACAAGATTCAAAAATATTATAAAACCAGTTCAACATAGGCTTAAAATCTTTCATTTATCCCCTCAGTATATGGGACCAAAAATTTACAATAAATTACCCGCTGGGATTAAAAACATTGCCTCATTCTCTAAATTTAAACTATCTTTAAAAAATTTCCTTTTGGAGAGGGAATTTTACTCGTTAGAGGAATATCTGGAAAATGAGTATATTTGAAAGATATTGCTTCTCCCATAGGTTTGTAGCTAGCTTATTATATGCTTTATTTCTTTTGTAAGCTATTTTATTTTCAAATGTAGTATAGTATTAGTATTAGACTTTGTGACAAATCACCTGTCAAGAGAATTGATGTAATGTGATGATGTTTAATAAATAAATAAATAAATTTTTCACGAACGAGCACACAGCCTTTTGACTCTAACCAGCTTAGGAAATCTTTTAAGTTGCCAGAACGTTATACGTAGAATTTATTCAACTACCCCGAACAGGCTTACGTTAATTTGATCTAAGAAACCCCGTATCAACTCTGGTGTTCGACCAAATCTAATTTTCCCGACACCAAGTATTACGTATTACTTGGTGATTACCAAGTATAACGAACAAATCACTTTAAGGTTAAGTTGCCAACTAATTAGGCTTATCCACGTTCACGATAGTTTATTCAAAATTCTAAATTTACCTTCACATGTTTTTCGATTCTGAGCCAACAAACTCGAAACGATAATAAATTAACGAACACGTTAGAGTCCTGGACTATCTCATTGTAGGCTAGGCTATCTGGAAAAAAATTAAGGTGTGGCCTAATTTCAGGTGAGACGACTAACGGGTATTTTAAAATCTAATTTTGTCTCTCTACCCGAAATTTTGTCATAAGATTATTTTTATAGTTTTATACAAATTTAAAACATTTTCACTAAAAAGCCAACCAACAGAATCAATAACCTTCCAATTATTTTACCCAAAAAAATTACTAAGACTGAATAATTACAGTAGGGCCTGGATAACTCGATCCTTAATGTCTTGAATTCCTTGATATCTTATATTTTCAAAATGCCCTTGAAACCCCAAAAAATACCTGTATACGTTGAAGGTTTCAGATATTTAACTTTGTTGAATCAAATTTTGACGTTTATTGATCTGCAATACTTAACTTAATCACTATTACTCAAAGTTTCTTGTTCACAAGCCTCAATAACTAGAAGTTTATTTTTATAAGACAAAGTTCAAATGATGTGCCTCAATTACTTATAGTTTTATGCCGTACTGGGCAAGTCAGCTGTTTTTTATCCTTGTTGAGATGAAAAACCAATCTTCTTGATTGTTTGGATAGTTCTGTTATGTTATCTTGTTAGTTATCGAGATTATTTTTTTGTGTTTCGGTCGTCGTGTTGACATACAACATTAAATTAGGTACTGTAGTTGATGATGACATGTTAAAGACAAATTTTAATCTTTTGGGAATGTGTAGTTCTGTGATTTTGGAAAACCAGGAAATGTATTATATTAAGCTGAAGGTGGATTGTTAGACTGTGTTTACGTTTACTGTCACAATTAAGAAAATTCTGTACCACATATAACCTAAATTACTATTGCGATGGAACAAATACACAACTCGTGTATGCCCAAATAATTGTTATTTTGCATCTTATAACTTACAGTATTTAAAACAAACAAGTAACATTTTCTTTGTTATTGCATTGTATTTTTTTATCTTCTGAACCTATACTTTTGTTGCCAATTTGGTTTGTTCTGTGAAAAAGGTTAGACTTGTGTTTATCCTAAATTACAATCGATCGCTGCATATTAAATACTTTTGGCCTACTGTGCATTGACAATAAATTGTTTATCTACTGTGTGTATGTGCTGTGTGTAGGTATTGTATTCTACTGTTTACTCTTCAGTACGTAGAAACAGCTTGGCTTAGAGTTATGAAGGCTTAGCATGTAAAAGTTGGGTTATAAAGGCCGGGATGTAACATTGTTAGAATTCAACACCTCAGTATCAGTATCTCAAATTGTCTGTATTATACCTTTCACACTCTAACCTTGCTTATTCAATAACTTGAATTTTTGCCCTTATCCTTTCAGCTTCCAGATATTGAGACCCTACTTAAATTAGTTTTAGGCTAAAAATATATTTTTCTAACACAAAAAATAACATCACACAACATACAATAATATCACATAACATAAATAGGTCTTGGTAAGACCACATCTCAGACAGAACTTTAACTAAGTTCTTTGAGAAACAAACTAAGTTCCGCCTTTTTGCAGACAGCCAGTAAAGTGCTCCGAGGATGGCTGCCTAAAAGAAGGATGAAATGTTAGAATTTACTTATAAGTTCCTGTCGGTGAGACAGTCTTACACAGGAGATTTAGTTTGTAGTGTTAGTAAGCCTTACCTCTTATGAATAGTTTAGTTGACAGCCAAGAAGCCAACTACAACTAATTGTCCACGTGTTTGGAATTCATTGCCAATAATAAACTTGAATAACATCCTAAAATGTGGCGGTAAAGTAACTTGTGTTGCAGTGGTATTGAAACGTCTTGACGACAACAATGATGAGGTGCGAAAGACAGCTGTTTGCACTCTCTGTGTCTTGTTTGAGTCACCTCTTCCCCTCGACTATCAATCACACCTGGAGTATCTTTATGATACAATGTTGTTGCACCTAGACGATCCCAACCCCGACTTTCAGACCGTGATGCTCGGTAAGTGTCACTGAAACTGTTATGGGATTTGCAAATGACTTCAATTAGAGCATTCAATAGACAGTATACTAGTATTATATTTTCAAAATAGAAAATATAAATAGCTTATTCACTAAGCTTTGGGTTGCTTGTTTGGTGGTCTTCTACTCACACAAAAGAAATTTTCAATATAAGGCAAAAGGCAATTAGGGTCATAGCTGCTGTAGATAGGCACCATGATTGTATTGACTTTTTTAACCCTCCAAGTGTCCATAGTTTAGGCCTTAATGTCCACCTATTTTTGGCGCATTTGCAAGGTTTTATTAAAACGGATCTGAGAAGCTTAAAACAATGTTAATTCTAATGTTCTATATACCATTTTGTTTGGAAAATCATGGGCTTCAATATTATATATAAAACATAAGGAACATTAAAAAAAAAAAAATTTTAGGTAAAAAAAATATAATTTCAAAAATTTTCAAAAAAAAAAATAAGTTCGCGCTCAATGAAATTGTATAAATTATAGGCCTATAAATATTTGAAAATAGCCACTTTGTTCTAAATTTTATGAGGATTACAAATATATAATAATATAAGGAAGTAGATTTGCAAATAAATAAGTTATGGGCAAAAAACTGATTTCAGTACATAGCGTTTAGCTAAGAATGCATAGCCTAACCATAGCTAGGAATCTGGCTGATAATTTACATCAATATCACTACCTACTTCTTCAGGATCATCAACCAGCACTTCAAAACCACATAAATCTTCTTATAATGCACCACGTATATCACTACTTTTGATTTTTAACACTAAAACAATGATAAACGTAATAAAACACATCAGTCATCGGTCCGGGGGAACCTAGCTGTTTACAAATACACGCACGTCAGCTGTCTGCATCAATTATGATCGGCTAGGAGAAAAATACAGCGCTGAGACAGACATCTGGAGACAGCTTAGAATGTAACGGAAAGAACGATACCTAACTCGATCCAGTTCAATCCGATTCAGTCAGTTATAGAGCCTTCGCCGTAAATGATGTCTGCTTGCCGAAAAATCGGCAAGTAACACTATACAAAGTGTGGTGCTTGCCGAATTTTCGTCAAGTAACACTGGGAGGGTTAAAGAATACCAAATATTAACACTGTTTTTTTTCTATTTACCAAGTAATGCCTTTTATTTTTAGGACAACAATTAGATAAGCTGGAATATAGGAGAGATATACACTGCCAAAACACTCGTCATAAATGTTATATGAACCTTCCTTATGTTAGACTTGCTAAGACTGATAAAAGAAAAACACCATTAATTTTGAGCAGTAAATTTTATAACAAGTTACCAATAGCAATAATATTACTTATTTATAAGGATTTTAAGATTAAAATAAATAACTTTCTTTGTAATCAGCCATTAAACTCAATATAAGATTATATGTCAAGGACACTGACTCCACTGGATTTTAATTAATGTTATGTTATGACTAATTTGACGTGCCAATGTATTTGTATGGACTATTAACTGGCAAATAAAAATCTCATTCTCATCTCATTCATAAAAATTTAACAATTTCAACAATTTCTCATCTCATTCACTACATAGGAAATTTGCTAAAAGGACAATCTTAAAACCTACTTACCCTATGTGGTTTTAAATTTGTACATATTTTATGCTTTTTTAATGTAAGTTCTATGTGAAAATATTTTTGTATTTCAGATGCAATGAAAAAGATTTCATCGTTACAACCATCTTTGTTGAAGAGCAGGATCAAGGTTGATAATTTTCGAAGCAAATCCAAATGTGAAGAACTTATTCAATTTTTAAACCAACTACATGTGTGAATTATAATTCTTTGTATTTATGTTTTCTTTGTTACACTTTTATAAATAAAATAGACTTAATAACTAGTTTTTTTGTGTTATCCTTAACCCTCCGTCGGTCACACCTAATCTATTAAATAACACAAGTTGCGCTTTACTCGTCTCTTTTGCATAAATTCTTCTTTAGTGACTCGACCAGTGAACTTGACGATAATCGATCCCTCTTAAGAGCCTTGTCCCTTCTCTGACGGCTCCTAGACGATGACAGGCTTCAGTATCGGTTTCAACTATTGGGGAACCAATGCCCACTTTTTTTAACAAGTGGTGTTAAATTTTCATTTTTTCCTCCGGGATACCGTGTATCTCGATGCATTGCAATGGCTATTAAGATGGCTTAAGAAAGGGTAGCATATTGAATGTGAATGAGGGCCAAGGGGATTGAGACATTACGTAACCGCCATTATGTACTGGGGCATGGCCACCTTTGGCTCGAAGCGGACTGTTGCGTTATGGCCGACCACTCTTATTTATGCAATAAGACCCGTTGTTTTGTCAGTACATTTTTTTTTATCATAGTGTTGTGGCTTAAAATTTATTAAAGCAAATTTTTTACTCTAATTTATTGTAGATATATTTCTTAAATTTAATCTACAATGAGTGACTAGTGTCGAATTAGTTCTAAAAATGTTGGTAACTGTCAAACCAAAGTTCTGTGTAGTGTATGTCCAAAGAAGATATACATTCCCTACACTTATTAGTTAATAATGAGATATGTGTTGTAAATCTTGCAAGAAGTTGAGAAGAAAAATTGTGCAAGTTGAATCTCAACTAGACAGGTAACTAAATATCACAGATGCGTAAATTGTTACAAGAGATGCGTGAGGAGTCCAAGACGCAAATCGAAGAATCAAGATCCGCAGTATGTTTTGAAATTTATGAATACAATGGTTATAGTTAGTTTTTAAAATGTCTACTTGTTCATGACAAATAAAAGGTAGGATAAAATAAAAAGTAAATAGGTATAAGGTAGGATAAAATAAAAAGTAAGATCACCACTTATCCTACACTCATCTCCATTCATACTTGGCTTAAAATACTTATTTTGTATGGTCGCTGTAGAATTTCGATAGCGTGTGTAGTGGACTGTATTTATAAGATAAGCAGAGTTTGATTCTTCAAATTAGAACACTGAGATACAATTGACAACTTGAACCCCACTAAGTGGTTCACGGGTGATCAAATGTTTTAAATTTGCTCCCCATGTATTTCTTATGGGAGTTAAATTTGGTTTCTCTTTTCCGAGTTCGATTGGCTCTTCTACCCGACTGATTTTCATGATTGAGGTCTCAAATTGAAGATATATGCACGCACAGATTTGCCATCATGTATCGGCATATATATATACCTACTGCATTTCTGGACCAAAAAACATAATTTGATTCCTTTTAGAATTCTTACTTCAATTTAAGATGCATTTTACCAATTATATAATCCTATATATTTTGGTCCAAGATCCTTCAGTGAAATACCTGCTTACATTTAAGCTATTAGTTTTTCAAATCGGACGAGTTTCAAGCAAACACGCAAGGTGAACAACAAATATTAAAATTATTTTTCATAAGGTATTTTATATGATTAAAAATCAATAGCTCCAGAATTGTTCAGGTCTTTTATATGATTTAGACTCAAAATAATTAGTAAATTATAGGCTTTAATCTGAGATATTGATCGTTTGAATCAGTTAAGCTCAAGATACTGTATTGCTCAATCAAAAATCAGGAATTTGATTATTTCTCGGATATTATATTTATTTTAACGCTGCGGAGCAGCATGGGTCCTCTAGTTAAAGTATTAAACATACTCCTGGATGTTTTATCTATGACACTAGTAGGGGGCTTTGGTCACCCCTGGGTCCATGACTCAGCAGTTTTTAAAATTCTGAATTGCAGATTTTAAATTGCATGACTCAGCAGTTTTTAAATTGGAAAAGTTTGTCTTAAGCTTTAGGAACATCGTTAATTTATCCATCCAAATCTTAGTCATGGCATTTTTATTTTTTTTTTGTAATATATTCTTATTTTGAGTTGGTAGTTGTGTGACTATGCACATGCTGGAAAAGTAGCATACTTAATCTTTCATATTGTTGCTGCTGTTCCCTCATTAATTTGTTTACTTCCCGTTTTAGAGTTCGGACATTTACGGCATCAGTGTCGTTTACACCATCACCTAAATTTCGTATTTGATTATTAGAAGCATCGAAGCTCCCAGGATTGAAAAGTTCGTTTGGACTCTTATTCTTCATCAAACAATGGTTTTTTAAATAACTTAGATTTATAGCATCATTATCTAATGTTGGTTCTCCAACATTTTGCAATATCCGATTCTTCATGTCGTAATTACCACTAGGAGTTAAGATTAAGCTCTCTTGGGATTGATTGATATTTTCTTTCCGAAGAACATAGTCTTCATGACGTCCGAACTTGTCTACACTCATTTTTGTACTGAATCCTCAACACGTGTGTAACAGAAATAAATACTTCTTGAAATTAGGTCAAGGTCATTCAGAGTAATTTTTAAAAAATAAACATATTGACCTAACGAATTAGGTCAATATGTTTATTTTTTATTTTTTATTATTTTTTTTTATTTTTTTTATTTTTTTTTTTATTTTTTTTTATTACAATTGTCACACATACCATTTTCTAAGAATACAATGTCTAACAATAATAGATGTTTCAAATTTACAATTAATTATTTACAAATTTACAGGACTAGAGTAGTTGAAGTGTTAATTCTGTCGAGTTATTTCCTGTTTGACCGTGAGAGACAAGACATAGTTTTCCAGCTTCAATCGACTCCACATCTTCATTTTGAAGCAATGTAACAAATCGCTTTGGAAGATAAATTTGAAATCGAGGCATGTCTCCTTCCTTGTAAGGCGCTTCACTTAATGCTGCAACAATTCCATCACCAACAGATGTATCCACTTTTTTCATAAAGTGAATTATGTACTGTTTCTTTTCCTTCAGCTCAAAGCATTTTTTAATCGGTAGTATGCTTGATTTTGATTGTTGATTAAATAAATCCACCAACGTCTGCAGTTTTGAGTCGGCCATTATTTGTGTTGAATGATGATATTAGGGATGTTGAGATAATACTGTTGAGCTCCTGGCTCCAAAACTCCATTTATGCCTATACCCCCACCACTCTATCCCCTCCACTAAGGCTCACTTTATTTCACTTTCTAGTGTTGCTTTTAAACCATAAGCATTAGATATGGCACAGTTAGAAAATCTATGTTTGTTGCATCTAACACCAATGCATATTCCAGGAAAATTTTGCTCTTTTCTTCTCATAATGTTATAAACTGTTGCTCTTGAAGGGACATACAATGATAAAAATTCACACTTTTCTAAACCTGATGTAAAAATAAACTTGTACTTGCTACAATATTTTATCAGTATGTTTTCAAGTTCGCTGTATTCCACAAATCCTTCATGCCATGATAAATGATGGAAGAATTTCGAAAGCCACTTGTTGGTTCTTGAATTCTTTTCATTAAGATTATGAAATGGAAACGGTGCTTTAAAAAGAAAGTAGTTTGTTACGCCAGATTTTAGATCTAAAATAACTAATTCTTTCACTATGTATTCATCATTGTTTCCTCTGAATGCTTGAAACTCGATTACACAAGAGTTGTGTTCAGATAAACAAGAAAATTCTTTCCATCGGTACTTTTGTGCATCCATCATGAATATCTGTATGCAACTGCAATTTTGCACAGTTAACTTCAATTATATGTGTTTCCCCCACCACTTGTTAAATACATTGTGTAAAAGCTTCTCTGTTTCATTAACTACTTCATAATCATTTCTTCACTTTTTATCTTAACTGATTCTTCTTCCATTACACTCAAGTCATTTATTGTGTTTTGAGGGAGTGTACATATCAAGTTACGATACAGATAAACCTCTTGTGGCAATCTGTTGTATATTGAATTATCTAACGGGCTATAGATCAAAGGAGTGTCCTGTCCATCTTCAATCGTATTCACCAAATAATCTTTAATTGTTGTTTTAGATGACTCTAGTTGGTGCATGTATCTTTCAATAGCAGGTATAGAATTAATCAATATTTCCAATTCATCTCTGTTAAGAAGCACCTTATCATCGTGGGATGAAAGGTTTCTAACTCGTACAAATAAATCACCACGAACTTTAATATTACCAACTTCAATATCAGAACTTTCCACAGTTATATTAGTTTTCTTCCCATATACTTTGTTAATGAGGTAGCAATGAATTAGGTGTATGGATTTGTTAAAAGAGTTCCATGAATCTTCAAAAAATGTTATTTGTTTTCCTCCATGATTGAGTAAAACACCTGGTGAATAATCCAGAAATTTACAAAATCCAACCGTAACATTTTTGTTGGTGCATACGGATAAAGGATATACAATGCGCAAAAATATTTCACTCAACATGAAAAAAGGAATGCACTCTTCTTGTTTTTTCCTACGTTTGTTTGATGTTTTCTTTTCAATGATTATTTTCTCTTGTTGGTTATTTTGGATCATTTCATCGGGAATGGTTGTATCATCTGTGTTATCTTCATTGATTTTTCTTTTCAAATTTTGCGTCAACAAATATTGTTCATTGTTAGAATTTTCAAGATCGTTTTCTTTTAGAAAATAACTGTCGTTTTCCGACTCGTTGTGTAAATTTCCGAAAACCTCCATTTTGTTGAAACCGATGTTTCCACGATGAATGTGCTTTCAAGTCTGAACCTTTTCATGTGTGTCCACTCATATTTATACCGATTTCAAGATATTAGGATGGGTATAGGTGTCATATTACAACACTTTTTTTACAATCCCTGTAAGCGGGGTGTATGTGACAATTGAATCATGCAAGATCAAACAGTAAGCCGTAGTGTTTGCAGGGATATTATCTTCAAACTCTAGTTCCAAACGAATGTCAACTGTTGATGATTTTAACGATTCATTTTGTTTTGAACAGTCAATGACAATTATTGGGGCATCGGCCGCAAACATTTTAGGGTCAAGCAGGGGTGAGTTTGTTTTTCCA